GGGGGTGTCAGGCAGTACCAAGCACCACAACTGGGAATCAGCTTTCCAATCAGAGCAAAGATCTTTCTTGTTGTTGTTGTTTTTTTTTGAGACAGAGTCTCCTGTAGCATAGGCTAGCCTCAAATTTAATTCATAGCTAAGGATGGCCTCAAAGTTCTGATCCTTCTTCTCCCACCTCTGGAGTGCTTGGATAACATGCACCATGCCCAGTCGGCTAATCAGCAATTTTTTAAAAATAGCCTCTTGTGTCCAGGGTTGTCCTGGAACCCCTAATCTTCCTGGGCCTTCTCTTTTATAAGCATATAATTCTTTACACACCTAGAAAAACGAAGGCTGATGGGCCTTCCGAGTTTCCTCACCGAGGTTGCTCAGAAGGAGCTGGAGAATCTGGACGCCCGCATTCCTTCCTGTAGCGTCATCTACATCCCTCTGGTGAGCAGGGCAGAGGACAGAGCTTCCAGGGGGCTGTGGGTTGGAGGGGAGGACAGCTGCTCATATGTCTCCTGCGGAGTGGTGAGCAAGGACGTGACACCCAGCCAGCCAGCCAGATCAGCAGTCCAGGGGCATGAATACCTTTGCTGATTCTAGTGGTGTCTGGGCTTCCTCTAGAAAGAGAGGGTGTGGAGCAAGTTACCCCCACTCTGTCTCTCTTCTCTCCGCAGATCGGCTTTCTTCTTTCCATTCCCCGCCTGCCTTTTATGGTGGAGACCAGTGACTTTGAGATTGAGGGACTAGACTTCATGGTAAGTCTCTGGACTCCTGCTGCTGCGGTGGGGGGTGGGGGGAAGCGTGATAAAGAGGCTGGAAGATCTCACCACAGCACTGACCAAAATGTGGGGTCGTGTCTAACTTAATCAGAGATTTAGCTGAGACAGAGAAGTTAGGGGGCGCACGGGGGTGGGGGAGATGGAGCCCGAGAGATGAAGTCTCTAGGCACGGTGGTGCACAACTGTAATCCCAGCACTTGGGAGACAGAGACAGAGGGATCGCTGTGAGTTCCAGGCCAGCCAGGGCTACATGGTGAAATCGTGTCACAAACGCCCAGAGCTTGGAACCCTCGCCCCAGTTTCTCTCCGAGGACAAGCTGCACTACCGCAGCGCGCGCACCAAGGAGCTGGACGCACTGCTGGGGGACCTACACTGCGAGATCCGGGGTGAGGGGCCTCAGGCTGCATCTGTGTGCCTGTTTCCAGGTCTTCCCAGGGGCCTCTCTCCCCACAACTGACCCTAGCTCTCCCCCAGACCAGGAGACCCTGCTGATGTACCAGCTGCAGTGCCAGGTGCTGGCGCGGGCTTCTGTCTTGACTCGGGTGCTGGACCTTGCCTCTCGCCTCGATGTCCTATTGGCTCTTGCCAGTGCTGCCCGAGACTATGGCTACTCAAGACCCCACTACTCTCCCCGAATCCACGGGGTACGAATCAAGAACGGCAGGTGAGGACAGAGTGGGGCGGAGACACAGACGGGGGCCACAGGCTCTGTCTTCTGGTGTGGGGCTCATCCACCTGGATCCCGGGCCATGCAGTGTCTCCTCCCCCACCACAGGCATCCTCTGATGGAACTGTGTGCACGAACCTTCGTACCCAACTCCACAGACTGTGGTGGGGACCAAGGGAGGGTCAAAGTCATCACTGGACCCAACTCCTCAGGGAAAAGTATATACCTTAAACAGGTGAGGAGCCATACAACCTCGGTCTCTGGCATCTCAGTCTCTTCTGCCAGTCAGGCCAAATCCTCTGTTCCTAAAGCACATGTCTGAGAACTAGAGAACCAGTTCTTTAGGATAGAACTTTTCATGGCCATGGGTCCCTTGACCACATTCTGAAGAGATCCTGTGTCATTCCCGGCATGCCTTTACCCACAACCCTGACTTTAGAATAACTCTGAAGTCAGGACATGGGGACAGTGTGTCCTCTCTTTAATCTGTCACTCACATCTTTAGGTGACCCATTTGTACTTTGCCCATATCACCAGGCCCATGTCCTGTATCCTCCCATGCCCAGGTAGGCTTGATCACGTTCATGGCCCTGGTGGGCAGCTTTGTGCCAGCAGAGGAGGCTGAAATTGGAATAATCGATGCCATCTTCACCCGAATTCATAGCTGTGAATCCATCTCCCTCGGTCTCTCCACCTTCATGATTGACCTCAACCAGGTTAAAGGGAGCAAATGGAGGTGGGGGAGGGGAGAATCAAGTAGGGCCTGTGCCCCTGTGCTTGGGAACACATTCCCTCAGCTGCATGTCCTCTGTACTTGGGGCCAGGGAGCACCCGGGTCAGAGTCTGGAGGAAGCAACACCATAAACACTTCTGAGACTCCTTTGTGAGCCTCCTGCTCTGCTGAGCACAGGAGTGTCGCTATTAGGGCAGGTGCAAAGTCTATTCATGGTGACACCTCAGAAGCCAGTGCCAAGGCTACAAAAACACCCTTGCTCACCTCGTGCCCAGCAGGTGGCGAAAGCAGTGAATAATGCCACCGAGCAGTCGCTGGTCCTCATTGATGAATTTGGGAAGGGAACCAATACGGTGAGGAGGAGAATGAGGACGGGGATGGAGGATGAAGGGACAGGAGAGGAGAGCTCAGGGAAGGGAAGGGAATGGATGGGCAGAGACGGGGGTGTGGGGCGGGGCACGGCACGTACAGAAGAGCACGGGTGCCCTGGCTCTGTCCCCTCACCTCTGCCCTCTGGCAGGTGGACGGGCTGGCACTTCTGGCTGCTGTGCTCAGGCACTGGCTAGCTCTGGGACCCAGCTGCCCCCACATCTTTGTGGCCACCAACTTCCTGAGCCTGGTTCAGCTGCAGCTGCTGCCACAAGGACCCCTAGTGCAATACTTGGTGAGGAAGTCACTCCAGCCCGTGAACTTTCCCTCTTCTCAGTCCCCCGTGAGTCCCACACTGTCACTGTTTGCTCTCTTAGACCATGGAGACCTGTGAGGACGGGGACGACCTTGTCTTCTTCTATCAGCTTTGCCAAGGTGTTGCCAGTGCCAGCCATGCCTCCTACACAGCTGCCCAGGCTGGGCTTCCTGACCAGCTCATTGCTCGTGGCAAAGAGGTGATGAGAGCCTGTGTGTAGCCACTACCACCTCAGGACTCCCTTCTAGCACACCTGCTCCTCTTCAAGTGGTTTAAGATTTATGTATTTTGCCAGGCGGTGGGGCACACACCTTTAATCCCATCACTCCAGGGGCAGAGGCAGGTGGATCTCTGTGAGTTCAAAGTTAGCCTGGTTTACAAAGCAAGTTCCAGGACAGCACAGCCTGCTCTACACAAAGAAACCCTGCCTCAAAAAAAAAAAAAAAAAAAAAAGTATCTTGTCCATGAGTGTTTTCCCTGCAATGTGAAAACACTCATATGCCTGGTGTCTGTGGGCTTCAGATCTCAGGAAACTCGAGTCACAGATGGTTGTGAGCTGCCTTGTGTGTGTTAGGGACTGAACCCAGGTCTTCTGTGAGAGCAGCCAGTGTTCTTAACCACTGGGCATCTCTGCACCTTATACCCACTCCTCCTGAAGACGTGGAGTCAGCAGCCCTCCCGCTTTCCTTCCTGTGCTAGGTCTCAGACCTGATCCGCAGGGGGAAACCTATCAAACCTGTAAATGAGCTTCTGAGGAGGAACCAGATGGAAAAGTGAGTGTGGCTCCTCCCCAACATCTCCCCCTCACAGGGCCTCAGCCAGCCTTCCTACAGCCCTGTGCCCTTCCCTCACCAAGCAAGGCATGATGGACAGGCCTGTAGCCCCCGTGTTCAAGGCCAGCCTGGGCTACATAGCAAGACTATGTCAGCCAATGACAAAACCGACAGGATCCACACTGCTCTCTGAAACCGTTTCTCTTCAAAGCTGTGGTTTCCTGTGCACAGACCTGGAAATCACAAGATTCTTTCTCCCCTGCAGTTGCCAGGCACTGGTGGCTAAGTTTCTGAAGCTGGATCTGGAAGATCCCACCCTGGACCTGGGCACCTTCATGAGTCAGGAAGTGCTGCCAGCTGCCACCACCGTCCTTTGAGAGGTCTTTCCCCATCCTCTCAGCTGCCTGACCGCGGAGACCCGCCACACCGCTTCCTTTTCTTCTCTAGATGCTGACTTCTCCGTCTGCACAATTTGTTTTGTGTTAGGAATAAAGTTTATTTTGGATCAAAATCCTTCCAGAGGTCACCCAATAGGACAACAGGAGAGCTGGGGCAGGGAGCAGTCCTTGAGAAACAGTGACCCTGGGCTGGGGGATGCAGTGGTTAGGAGCACTGGCTGCTCTTGCAGAAGTGTCAGCTCACATCCATCTGTAACTCCATTTCCAAGGTTTCTAACATCTTCTAGTCTCCCGGGCTCTGGGACAGGCGATGCACAGAAACTCAGACAAACATATGCACATAAATCCAGTCAGGGATGGAGGTGCGGCCTTTAACCCCAGTACCGGGAAGGCAGAAACAAGCAGATCTCCAAGTCTGAGGCCAGCCTGGTCTACACAGTGAGTTCCAGCCAGCTAGGCTACATAGAAAGACCTCTTATAGAAAGTAAATAAATAAATAAAAATTTAAATAAATTCAGATTCTGCTCTTGGGACTCAATGAGGCCAACTACTTCAAGGAGGCTCTACAAAAACAGACTGAAGGATGGCACATAGTTCAAGGCAGGCCTCTCTTGCCTTAATCCTGGCCTCAGAGGCTGAAAGACAAGGCAGGATGGGTAGAGGGCAGGGCTTGGGGAGGAACCAGCCCGGGCTCCACCCTTCCCACGTCAGAGCCATGGGGAGCCCAGGTCCTGGTGGGCCACCCCAGGTGCAAGCGCCCTACACTGTTCTGCTGCTTCCACTGCAGACAAGCCGCCAAGACCCAGGGGCCCTGAGCTTCTTCCTCTGGGTGAGTATTATTAGACCAGGAGGTCTTGGGACATCCCCTCCCCTGATCGGCCCTTGATCTATTTCCACTCAACTGAGGACCCACAAACTTTCCTTCTGTGTCCCCTTGCCATCCAGGTCCTCAGTGGCCAGTCTGAGCTCACACGTAGTGACCAGATAGCCATTTAGAAGTGTGGGCCATAGCTAGGGTCCTGCTAGGACTGAGAGTTTGGCTTCTGTTTGTCTAAGGCAGCTGCAGATGATGCAGGCTCTGGAGAGGGAACAAGACGCTCTGTGGCAGGGTCTGCAGCTGCTGGAGCAGGGCCAGGCCTGGTTTGCAGACCACCTAAGGGAGGCACAGCAGCGGCAGTTGCATCTGGGGGCCCTCGGTGAGGTAGGGAGCAGCCTCCTGGGCATGGGCTGGGGGAGGGAGACCTAGCAGAGCCTGCTCTGGAAAGGAGAGGGTTAACGGGCAGGGATCATGAGGTGGAACAGCACTGGGATGACAGGATGGCACCCATGTTCAGCCAGTGACATTGTTGTCTGCATTCCATTCAGAGGGACTCCATTTGACCACAGAGTGGGGAGTGGCCTGTGTGTCTGTCAGAGGGCAGGATGGACAGGGAGGAGCCATCAGGAACAAGAATGGGGGTAGGGGGGCTGATACCATGCAGTCTGAAGGGAGCGGCAGTGTTAAAAGAGATTGGATTTTCCCACCTGTCTGGGAGGGTTCTGGGACGAGGGAACCCAGACCAGAAGAGCAGCCTGTGGGAGGAAGTGGCAGGTAGATCCCTTTCCAGCACAAAGTCACCTCCAACCCATCCAGGATTTTCTAATGAACATAGACTCAGCGACTGACTCCCCACAGCTCACCCAGATTCAAAAGGTGAACGCTTGTTTGCGCTGTCTGATTCAGGTGAGCCTCTTGTTTTCAATGTACAGACTTTGGGGAGGTGGGGGGCTTTTGGAGTCGCAAGGCTGGTTCCTGCCTGGCCCAGAGCCAGGAGGAAATGCCAAGGGAGGAGAACTTGTGGTAGCAATGGACAGACTAAAGGTGTGACAGACCCTGGCCCACAGGGGAAGCAGGGGCCAGTCTGGTTCTCTCTCCTGTAGGAGTTGTCACAGCAGCAAAAAGAACTGACCCAGTCCGAGGGAGAGGGAGAGATGGCTCAGCGCGGGCAGAGGAGGTGCCTAACCCGTGTGTGAATCCTCCCCTCCCAGCGTCTCTGGGGAGAAGGTACATCACGGGAGCCTCCTTCAGCCTTAACGTAAACTAAGCTAAGACACTGCCTGGATAAAGTGAAAACAGTGCCTGCTGGGCCCTGCCCTGCCCTCCTTCTGGAATAAACAGCAACTTTCCAAAAAAACCCTTTTGTGTGGTTTCTGTTCGGAGTAGGAAAAGCACCTCATGGAAATCTGTCACCATCTGTCCCAGCGTCTAGGGTGTGTCTGGCTGATGTTATTTTTGAGACAGGGTCACACAGCCCAGGCTGGCCTTGAACTCAGAGCAGCCCTGTTACAGGGGCTGCAGATGTGGACCACCTTGCCAGTCTGCTTCTTTAGGAAAGAGAAGGGAGCCAGGCGGTGGTGGCGCTCGCCTTTAATCCCAGTGCTCAGGAGCCAGAGGCAGATTTCTGAGTTTGAGGCCAGCCTGGTCTACAGCGCAGGTTCCATGGCAGCCAGGGCGACACAGAGAAACCCTGTCTTGGGGAAAAAAAGAAGCAAAGGAACAAATGTGCACGTGTGATAGAAGGCAATCCCGATGCACGTGTGATAGAAGGCAATCCCGATGCAGTCAGGAGGGCAGGGCCCTGAGGCCATGTGACATCATCCCACGCTGCAGAAAGGAGTCCCTGAGGGGCTGCATGTCACCAGGATGAGCAGCCTAGCAGGAACAGCGCCCCTCCAAGTGTCCCCCACCAGGCTCTGCTGACCACCCCTCCCCCAGCTCTGCCCTGAGTCACCAAAGTGGAAGAGAGCAGGGTAGGGGTGGCTGGAGGCAACACTCGGCCAGAGGAGCGGGCAGGGGTCTCCAGCTGACCCTGCGGATCCTGCGGAGAGAGGGGGACATTATGGTGGGTGTGCCCAGCTTTAGCAGCTAAGAGGGAAAGCAGAAGCAGCTTACCTGCGAGGCCTGGGCCAGCACCAGGAGCCGGAGGAAGGCATGGGTCGGGGGCCCTGGGTTGGCTCCTTGGCCCACCGCAGTCACAGTTACCATCACTACATTGTCAGGGGCTGCTGAATCCGGGACCTCCAGCCACAGGCGTCCCCAGGCAGACTCGTTCAGTCCCAGGCGAGCCCTGCAGAGTGGACAGAAGGCTCCGGGTAGGGATAGATACAGCCAAGGCTGGAGCCAAGCAGAGAACTCTTGGTGGAGCCAAGCAGGGTTGAGGACTGAAGGCCAAGAGGTTGGGGCGTGGGATGAGCCCTTGAGCCCCGGTCCCTACAGAACTGACTTGGTGGAGCCAGAACCCAAGCAAAGGTGGATGCGGGGAATCTCACCTGGAGAGGTTGGAGGTGAGCGAGAAGCTAGGGTTGACAGATGTCCTAAGATCAAGATCCTGGGGGCCAGAGAAGCTGGCAACATGCAGGCTTAGAGGGACCTTGCTACCAGGAACCAGGGAACCTGGGGGGCCGCTGAGCTGCAGGGAAGGGCAGGTTAGAAGAGCTGGTTCCGTCTCCCAGGCCCGGCCCGACCTCACTTCTCCTCACCTCCAGGAGCACAGGAGCCACAGAGCAAGGCTGGGGGGCAGTCCTGCGCAAGCCCCGCCCCCCTCCATCCTGGCCAAGCAGCTCCAGGGAGAACGGTGCAGAGCCAGACAGCAGTGTGGGTGGCAGCGAGGCAGCAAGGAGGCCTCGCTCAGGGGGTCCCACAGGCTCCAAGAGCACCCGACCCAGATGCGTGCCCTCAGGGACCCTTCGAAGGACAACGTGGGAAAAGTGTGGCCGGCCGGTCTCAGGGCTTTGTCTAGAGAGGAGCCCTGTCACTTCTACCAGTAGCTGGGTCTGGAGACCTGAGGTGGGAGGGAAAGACAGTGGTCACAAGCCACAGGAGGAGGCGCAGGGAAAAGGGATGAAGTCTTGAACTGGACGGGGTCATGTGAAGTCCACTAGGCTGGAACAGCCCATTAGTGCTCTTTACTCATCAAACATGACGCAGACACGTTTGTATTCACACACACACACACACACACACACACACACACACACACACGCAGACACGTTTGTATTCACACACACACACACACACACACACACGCACGCGCGCGTGCACTCAGGGCAGGGAACAGTCTATATTACCTGCCACTGGCTGAGTCAGGGGGTAGAGGCCAGGGTGGGGTCCGTCCTCCACAGGGATCCCGAAGTGAAAGAGGAAGTCCAGGGAGGTCTGGGCTGGGAAGGAGGCAGTCAGACAGAGGACCATGGTCACCGTGGTCACCACACCCCTTCCAGGAGCCTTCTCTCCTTACCTTGTACTCTCACCCGGGGCATTCCCTCAGCTGCTACCTGGATCTCCCAAGACCCCGTCTGAGGGGGGTCAGTCATGGCCACTGTCCAGAACTGTCCAAAGCGACGAGTGTGACCCAGAGGACCTACGCCCTCCTCTGGACCCTGGGACACCCCTGGGATGGGGACGAGAGACTGTCACACGAAATAATCTTCTTCCCCCTGCTGTCCCCTTGTTCTCCACTCTCGATTCCTGTCTGCCTTGAGCCCCACATGATGGTACCTGCAGGGCTCTTGATCCAGAAGCTACTGATGTCCCCGTGGATCCGGACTGTGACATTCCGGAGCAGGCTGTCCACAGCAAACACGCGAGTCTCCCCAGGGAGGAAGACCGGAGGCTCCAGGGGAAGGGTCACCTGCAGATGAGGGCAGTCGAGAAGAAAGGAAAGCTCGGACTGAGGGGAGGGGTCCTCAGCAGGGCACCGGGCCAGGGACAATGAATGCTACTGTGCTTGGTGCACAACTGGAGGACAGGGATTCAGGGTGAGGCCATCATTTCTTGTTCCCCTTCACAGATGATGAATGGTTAGGTGTGGTGGCTCACGCTTTTAATCCCAGCACTCAGAAGGCAGAGGCAGGAGGATCTCTGTGAGTTCAAGCTCACGGCCAATCTGGTCTACACAGTGAGTGAGTCACAGGCCAGGCCGGCCAGGACTACATAGACCTTGCCTCAAAAACAAAAACAAAAATTCTTGTCTCGGCCCTGGAGACCAAGGTGGAAGTCAGGAGGGCAGTTACGGACAAGAAAGGCAACGTGGAAGGTTTAGAAGCCATGGATCTGGGGCGGGGGACACACGATCACCTTGACTTCCCGCCCCGACGTTCTACAGCAAGAGGCACAGAGCGTCCCAGACCTCAGATCTGAGCTAAGGACATGAACCTTCTCGGCCATGGTCACTCACCAGACCGCCAGCCATGCTCTCCCCAACAATGGCTGCCACATCCTGGATGTGCTGGTCTTTAGTGAAGATCACCTCTCCTCCCGACGCCAGGGCAACTGCTTCATACGGTTCAAACCGCGAAGGCGACAAGGCCTCCCGCCGCACCCGGCCCTGAGCCCTCGATGGGTCTTCAGTTACTAGGAACGTCACCTGTGGCCAAGTGACAACCCTAGGCTGGCTTGCCAAGTGTAATGGGCACACAGTCCTTGTGCTGACGGCTAAGCACTCGGGAAACCAGGAATGTTAAACACACGGGGTCGTCTCGGCAATGGAAAAGATGTACCTATGCCCGCCTGGGAAGGGCGCAGGCGTAGTTAACGGTCCCGGGATCCGTGCTGCCTGTAGGACCAGGCCTCACCTGAGCCCCCAGACCCTTCCTCCCTAGGCCTCTATCTGAGCTCTGGGTCTCAGTCACTGGAAGGCAGGGCGGATGTACTTTGCAGGTTTATTATAATTGTAACAAGAAAATTTTTTCCAAGATCATATTGTTCTTTTTTTTTAAATTATGATTTATTTATCTTTTATTTTATGTGCATTGGTGTGAAGGTGTCAGGTCCCCTGGAACTGGATCTTCAGACAGTTGTGAGCTGCCATGTGGGTGCTGGGAATTGAACCCGGGTCCTCTGGAAGAGCAGTCAGTGCTCTTAATCACTGAGACATTTCTTCAGCCCCGATCATACTGTTCTTAAATATGTCTGACGTGAACTGCCTGGGGTCAAACTCTAGAATTTGAACCAACACTGGCTCCCTTCTTGCCTCATGCAATGGTTTCTTTGCCAGCTCCAGGGTCTGCGAAGACCCCACAGCCCTCCCTTGAACAGTTCAGTACTGCTAAGGGTGTGGACCCCCCACTCTGGAGTAGGTTAAAGGTTTGGGGTGACCCTACATGAGACGGCCGTCTTTTCCCTTCTTCGGGCAGCTAACGCTGTGCTCACCCTGCAGCGCCGCTCCCGACTCAGAGACTCCACCCGGTTGGTAAGAAAGGCATCCTTGGGGGAGGCGTCAGTGAAGACGAAGATGTCTGAGAGCGGAGGTGTGTGCAGCAGGGCTAGCTGATGAGGAAGGAACGGCTGCCGGTAAACATGGTGGCAGAGGGAGTGGGTGGAACCAGGGAGGGCAGAGCTCGGGGCCCTGGAAGGAAGCTGGGAGACAGGGGAGAGGGTTGCCCAGCTCCGGCTCCCCCTGGTGGCAGGGCCTGGAAAGGCAGCGTAAGAGGGAAGGGAAAGGGAGGGGCAGGGAAGGGGGCCACCGGACCTCCAGGGCAGACAGGCACATCTCAGGCTCATCTCCGCCTCCCAAAGCCTGGATCTCGTTGAGTTTCTGCCAGAAGCTATCAGGGTCACTGGTTGTGAAGATGGGGCCGAACCCTGGGCAGGGGAAAGGAAGGTCAGACAAGAGGGGCAGGTAGAGACCGCGGGAGCCGTGAACCTACCAATGTGGGTGCCATACCCAGGTCCTCTGCAAGAAGAGCAAGCTCTCCTAAAGGCTGAACCATCTCTCCAGCCCCACTTCTAAGATGTAATGAGAGAAAATAACAGCTCTCACCTAGGAGGTTCACTGCGAGAACTGAATGAGCTGGGGAATTTGTTGTTGTTTAAATATTTATGTATTTATTATGGATACAATATTCTGTCTGTGTGTATGTCTGCAGGCCAGAAGAGGGCATCAGACCTCATTACAGATGGTTGTGAACCACCATGTGGTTGCTGGGAATTGAACTCAGGACCTTTGGAAGAGCAGGCAATGCTCTTAACCGCTGAGCCCTCTCTCCAGCCCGAGCTGGGGAATTTAGAAGCTAATGGTATTGATTCATGCGTCCATGAAGCATGTGGTAAGTCCCTACTTAACGTCAGGCAGGCACACTGAGATGCATCAGACTCCAGCCTCCCCTGAAGGTATCTCAGTCCAGGACCCACCAGCTATGGCCTGTCTCCGATGGTAAGCAAAGGACTAGCTGGCCAGCCCGAGGTGGCCGGGTAGGTGTTCTACTTGGTTGGGAGTAGAACTAAGCATCCTGCCTCTCCACTGAACAGACCCATCTCTTCAGCCTGATCTCTAAGGCTGCAGCCTGGAGAGAGGCCCAGCAGGAGGAGCGCTCGCTGTCGTTGCCGTGCAGACCAACATGAAGGCAAAACAGCCATCACATTTTATATTTATAAAATAGTTTATATTTATAAAAAAAAACCAACAACAACCAAAAGACGTATTAGCACAGAAACGTAAGGAAGCCTGCCTAAGCCGGCCCTGGACTTGCGAAAGTGCCGCCATTTTAGAGACAGGGGAAGCAGCTACTCTTCTACATGGACACAGGTTCCAGCAGACGCTCACCATGACAACAGGTAGCACGGCCCTGGGGCCCACCTCCAGTCTCCGCCCTGGGCCTCCTCCCTCCATCCCTGCAGACCAACACTACCTGGGTCATGGAAGGGCACCAGGACGTAGAAACTGGGCTCCGTGGGGCCGCCTTGCCGCTGCTCCATGATGCGGCGCGCCTGGATCTTGGCTGCGTTGATTTCCTCACCCATGCTGCCTGTGGTGTCCAGGACGAAGCTCAGGCTGGAGGCTGGCGTGATGTCCAGCAGCCTGTGGTCCAAGTCA